AGTAAATAATAGTTGCTGCATCTTTTGGTAACGCACATCATCCTGTAGGGATGCACTATCATCATCATCATCATGCAGAATAAATTGCTTAATACTAAATCCTTCATGTTGGCACCCATTTTTTAGATTGGGAATATAACTCTGAGAATTTCCAGTGAATGTGATCAGGTATAGACCTTCAAAATGTACATTGGGCAGCTGGGATTTCTTCAGAAAGTATTAGTAGTAAAGTAGTGTTTGGCTCTCAATTATTGGATGTGATCTCTGGTTGATGTGTAGATATTGAGGAAACCAGTCAATTGTTTATATAAGTGGTTCTCAACCTGTGGTCCATGGAGCCCTTGGTGGTGGTGGTGGAGGGGCAAACAATGTCATCTCAGGAGGACTGAGAAGGCTTGATGCAGCCTAGTGCCTTAAGTCTTGGGGGTCTGTGCCCATGGTCCGTGGCCCAAAAGGTGAAGAAAAGGTTGAGAACCACTGGTTTATATGAATTCAGAATCTGCAGGGCAAAATGTACTCCGTTAGGAGATTCAAGATGTTAAGAACAGTCATGCAGGCAAGTGTGAAAATCAATGCACAATCAAATCAATGAGTGGCTATAGCTGGCCACGGATATTTGAGAATTTGAAAAGGACCTAGAAAAGAGCAATATTAGTGCCACAATGAAAATACTATGATGGGGAGATAAAAGAACCAGTTGCGAAAAGATTAAATGGAAGCTAAGGTGAGATGCAGCTACAATATTCAAAATATTGAAAAGTAAACCCGAAAATGGACAATATTTACAGTAAGTTGAAGAGCAGAACAGAAGCTTCAAGTTTCACTGTGTGCAATTATGTTTCTGCTTTTGCTACATGAATAAATGACACTGAATATATTGAACAAGATCATTGGTCTGTTTAATTTAGAATTACCTCTGCCAAACTAGCAAGGTTTCTTCTAAGCCTTAAGCAGAAGTCTTTTCTACAAACTAACAGATCTGGAATGCAGAAAAAACAGAAGACCACCAGATGACACCAAAGATGTGATTGTGTACCTTCAATTAATTTTGGATTCCTAGTAATGATATAGACTTTCCCCATGATGATCTAGTTGTAACCTGATCTCTCAGGTTTTCCAATAATCTGTTCCCTGATACTATCTTCTTTAATGCTGGTTGTCCTCTTCTCTTTCTCAGTACAGGTAATCCTCGTCTTCCAACCACAATTGAGCCCAGAATTTATGTTGAAATTTGCTAAGTGAGTTTTGTCCCGTGTTACGACTTTTTATGCCACATTTATTAAGAGAGTCACCACAGTTGTTAAATTGGTAACATGGTTGTTAAATGAATCTGGCTTCCCTATTGATGCTGATTGTGAGAAGGTCGCAGGGACACTGCAACCATCATAAATGTGAGTCAGTTGTCTAGCATCTGAATGTAAAGATGCTTGACCACTGGTTCATATTTATGACGGTTGCATTGTCCTGGGTCATGTGACTCCCTTTCTTTGAATGTAAAGAGAGAGTCACGGTGAATTATGTGGTAAGATGCTGGGCCTGCGCACTGCTGAGGTCAACGGCCCGGCAGTTCGGTTCCCGTGAGCGAATAAACCATGTGGGTACAAGAAAGGAGCCTCTCCCAAATACCTACCGGCATTCAGGCATCCCGCGGGTAAAGATAACACCACCCCCCAAAATAAATTCATTTCACAGAGGCAGCCAGCCACCGCAGTGATCCCTGGTTAACATGTGCCATATGCTAAATAAATAAATGAATGGAAAGCATGTGACCATGGGGATGCTACAATAATCATCATGTCAGCGCTGTTGTAACTTTGAACGGTCACTAAATTTGTAAGTTGAGGACTATTAGGTCTTCAACTAATGTGCCTGAAGTAAGATTCCTTGAGCCTCCAGTGTAGGAAACTGTTGTGGCCCGCCAGCGGGGAATAGAGTTGGCAGCAGAGTTGGACAGTGATCCATTGGTTTGTTTTTTGGGCTGCCCACAATTCTCTCAGGGGGCTTCTTCAACACTAACATTCAACAGTATCAATGTAAGTATCCCTATCTTGCTTTCTCTTTTAAAGTCCAACTTTTACTTCCCTAGAATACAGAGAATACCATGGCTTGCACCATGTTCATCTTTGAAGGTACAATAACAATGTTGGAGGGTCCTTTCCAAGGCCTTCATGGCTGTTCTACCACGTGCTGGTCTGTAGTGTGGTGATTCAGAGAAATGTGTAACCTTTAATTGGCATGTAGTGGTCATTCTGATTTTTGCAACCTAAATCTGATAGTTGTAGTCTTTTCCAGTTCGACTACCTGAGATTCGATTAACTTAAGTTGCTGGTGATTGAATTTAGGACCTTCTTCAATCAAAATCTGAACTCTGCTCTGGCCCTTCTCACTTGTCAAATTTATTATTATTCTTTCAGGCAGGTCTCAGATCAGAGGTAGTATTCAGCAGGTTCTGACCAGTTCTGGAGAACCGGTAGCGGAAATTGTGAGTAGTTCGGAGTACCTGCAAATACCACCTCTCACTGGCCCCGCCCCCATCTATTCTCTCCCTCCAGAGTCCCAGCTGATCAGCTGGGCCTTCTTTTGTTGCCCTGCACAGGAGAACGGAGCTGGAAAGTGGGTGACTGGGGTGGGGAGGGGAGGGGATTTTGTAGTAACCGTCCCCTGGAGTGGGGTGGGAATGGAGATTTTACAGTATCCATCCCCTGCCATGCCCCCCAAGCCACACACCCCAAGCCACACCCACCATGCCATGCCCACCACGCCACACTCACAGAACTAGTAGTAAAAAATTTTAAATCCCACCACTGTCTCAGATGCAAATCTATTGAAAACTGAGGGAGAACGGAAGAGATCAGGACTCTAATAAATATACATTCCAGACACTGGAAGCCCAAATGAAGGTTTTTTAGGCCTTATGGGTCCAGAGGCCATTAGCTGATCAGAGTTGAAACTATTATATTGGACTAACAGTGAGTTCTGTTCTAGCGGGCCTCAACCTATTTTCTTGGACAGTGGAGTCTGCAGATGGATTGTTAAAAGAGGAAGCTGATTAAAGGAGCCTGTATATACAATAAACCATTGATGAAAGGGAAAAAAATGTGCTGAAAAAGTCTGTTAAGAAAGTAGTAATTCTACTGAGGCACACGCGAGTAAGTTTGTCACCACAGCTGATAATAATCTGAGGCACTGATTGTAGATCTGGTTCTTTATTAGAGTTTAATATTGGTGGCTGTCTTGTCTAAGACTAATGGCGATTGATTTTTTTCCCTGGAATATTACTTTAATCCTATTGCTCTTTTTCTCTTGCTACTTTCCTGCTCCAACATAAAAGACTGGGACTTTTTTTAATATTTGGAAGTATTCTTTTTCTTCATGTAATAAGACACACTATCTTTTCTCTATGAAGACTGCAAATAGAGGAGACTCATGACTAAATAAGGATCCCTAGAGGGCACGGTAAAAAAAAAAAGTTATGAGAACACCCACAACATGCAAAGCTATGCCCATTTTTAATGTGTGTCACTGTGATTACAGTGCAGGTGGCTTGATTCTGCATAGCAACACTGGGGATTTGTCAGAAACATGTGATTAATCCACCATAGCTTATTTTACACCACTAATGTAGCAATGCCTTTTGCATTACTATTTTTTTGCATTACTATTTATTTGCATTTTAGTATGTAATGACTATAGGGCTCACTGCTTAAGGATCGATATTATAGTATAGTAAGGTGATGTAAGGACAGATTGGATGCCAAGTTGTGATTTTAATATAGATTTTATGAGTTGTTTATTACTTTATTCTAGACTTTGAAACTGGATATTCTTTGAGGGTTTTTGTTTTTCTTTTGTTCTGATCTCTGGTCTTTGGCTGTAACAAACTTGATTGATTGAATGTGTGTCATATGGCAACACACATAAAAACCAAACAGAGCTTCAATGGCTCCTATCTTGACATTTAAAAAAAAAAGCTACACTGAGTGGACATCCCTGGAACTAAAGTGATCCAAGTGTCATATGCTGGCAACGCATTATGAAAACCTTCTCAAATAATCACAGCAGAAAAAACTTTCTCATTGAAAGTGGTTTACCCATATCACAGTTCTATTGAAACCTAAAATGTGCCTAAGACATGACCGACTTTGGATTTGCTCCTGTCTTGAAGGCTTTCATGACAGGGGTGTCAAACTCAATGTCATTGAAGGCCACTTCAGGGTTGTGTTTGACCTCGGGAGGGTGGTGTGGTGGTGTGGTGGTGGTCAGGGGGCATGGTCAGCTTGATATAACTTGTGTCAGGGATGCCTGTGGTAGCCTGAGTGTTCTACCAGCGAAAACTGGCTCCCGAGCTCCGTTTTCACTGGCAGACGGTTGCAGGAGGCCATCCCAGCTGAAAATGGAGCTTGGGAGCCCACTTTTGTAGACACAGATACAACAGGCCAATCCTATGCTCTTTTGGATCTAAGCACCCCGTGGGTCACATCTGGCACCCTTGATCTAAACTAGGAAGAAACCTTTAACAAAATTTCAAGAAAGCAATAGATATGAATAGTTCAGGGTACATGCTGGGAGATAAGCCGCTCTTCTCGTAAAATAGCTTCAAGTACATCTTGAAGCATTGACAAGTGGAAAAGTATGAATTGCACAACAAAAGTTTGTGTAGGTGTAAACCACACAAGTTTGTAACAGTCTTATCAAGTAGGAGAAAGTTCAACTGAATATCTGCATTGCTTGATTTAGGGATAGTTAGAATCAGACACTTGTTTTCTACAGATGCTATCATTATTATTTTTTGCTAGAAAGGGTTTTTGTTTCCAGAAGAAATGAAGGAACAAAGGTTTATGGGAAAGCACTGACTCAGAATTGGTAAGGATAAAAATTAAACCACAGCCTGCTGTGTTCTGGAAATCTGGACAAAGAATAATGGAGAGAAGAGCTCATGTTGGTTGCAACAGTCTTAAGCCAGCTACAGTTATGTGGAAAGTAAACATTTCTGCTCAAACTTGTCTGTGAGAGCAAAAAAAAAAACCCCAAAGCAAAAACAGATTTCAGGTATAAAGCTGAGGGTCAAGACAGATTAAAAACATATATATTTGTGGACACCTATCTGTAGTATAAATTATCCTTATTCAAGATGATTGAGATTTTAACATATCCTTGGCTTGTGAAATTTTGGCTTGCTTGCACTAACTGATAGTTGATTGAAAAAGAGTTTGAGGTCAATATGGCACACCAGATGAACAACAACAAAAAAGTGAACCCCAAGACTAAGTTGGATGTCAATGGAAGAAAATGTCATTGGGCAGAACTGCTTAAGAACATACTTGAACAAATGCAATTCTACTTAAGAAAGAAACTAGGATCACCCTATTTCCTTGCAAAGAGTTGTGATCTGCATTCATTATCTTTAACATTTCTCCATATGTCACCTAAAAAGTAGATGTTCTAATTTTCAACACTTCCAGGAGTGAAGATAAATATACCAATTATATAGTAGTGTGTGCTCACTACAGTGGGCTTGTACTACTAGCAAGCCCAAAACTCATTCTGTTACTCTATACTACTTTAAATGGGGCATGTGACTTCAAAGGAAAAAGAATTAAAATCGCTTATGGAGTAAGACGGTAATTGTTTATCAGTTCGCTATTCGTATTTTTGTCTGTTCTATTGAAAACAAGCAAGCATTTAATACAGCCAAAAATAACGTTGCCTATGCTAACCACCAATCAGCATTTTTTTTATAGCTGGCTTTTGCTACAACTGTGTAGTAGAAAACACTGCATTTCTACCCAGTGCAATGAGAATGTTTTCAGACTGGCCACATTGCTACTGAAATGTTATGTGTGTCTTCAATTGTTGAAAGCCAGGGGATTCTTGCAAGAAGACAGAAATCTTTTATCTCCATTAATTTCTTCTCTATTATTTAACATGCAACAGAAATATAATCTTGCTTGTTGTTTTTGGAGAGTAGGTGCAGCAAAGGAACATACGTGCTCTCATTCTACTACTTCTACAAGTGAAGAGTCAAAACAGCCACGACAATATCCATGTGAGTTACCAAGCCAACTTTGCTACTGAAGCAATGCACATGGTGAATCACGCAAGATATATAATCTCAATGCAGATACCTGATACATTCCCAATACACACCAAATTGGCTAGAATGTCTGTGTGGAGACCATGTATGGATTGCAGATACTGTAAAACAGGATATCATTCCGTGTATCACTAACACAAAATATTTCTACATTCCTATCGGGGGCGGGGGGTAAGGTAAAGGGTTATCGGTGAACATTTCAGGTGTGCAGAATTGGAACTACCGGTCCCATAAAAAAAAAAAACATGCAATCTGCATATATAATATAATCCATTGTTTGCCATGCTAAAAACAAAACTCAATTAAACCCAAACCCTTTAGTGAAAGTCACAGAGAGTTCCCTCACGGGAATATAAAAGTTTATGCACAGTGATGAAACTGGAAACAGTTTTCCGGTGTAAAAAAGCCCCACCAACTTTTAGGTGGAAAGAGTTCTATTGTTGGTTACATGCCACGCTGGGATTCCATCAGCAAATCAGAGACTATTCAGAACTTATCTTGTTAATCAGATCAGTTGGATTTGGGTCCAGGTCTTGGTGGCTGTTTTCTTCTGGCAGTGCCGTTTCTTTTAAAAAATTATTATTATTATCATTCTTTCAGATGGAAAAGTTCATTTCTATATCATCTGGCAGGGCAGCAGCTTTAGAGGTTGGTGATGTTTATGGGGAACTCTCTGTCGAGGCTGTTAAAACAGAGAAGGAAAAAGAGAAGTAAATACAAGCTGAGTTTGAATCAGCTGCAACATATTGTTGTTCAGATTGGGCAGACAGCTGAATAGTTCTCTCCAAGTTCAGACTTGCATTAAAGCTTAAAAAAAAAAAAGCGCAAACCCCACTTCCTTCTAGCACTGATGATGTTACCTAATTTGGTAATGAAATGTCTTCAAGAAAACCACCAAACTCAGAGAGCACCAAGGACCCCACAGCTTATGCACTAATGGATAATTATTTTTCCCATTGTTCCCCTATGTGATGACCCAAAGTATATCAAAAATATAACAAAAACCAAAACGTAAATAAAGGTCCTTTAATGCCTTCAACTTGGCTACACTGTTTAATTGTTCACAGTTGAAGATTAAACTATTTTTACAGTAACTTTCCAAACGAAAGAAATACAGTTCAAATTCAAAGAGCAGATAATGAAGTAAAAACGAAAAACAAACCGCATTGAAGAAAGTTCCACAACAAACCGGGATAAATGATTACAAACTTCAGGAAGATAACCAGGTACAAGCCATTGGAAGAATGCCAACCAAGATAAACCTCATCCAGGAAAAACACTCATCCAGGAATAAAACACTGATTTGTCTCCAGCGTTTGTTAGCAGGCAGGTCCAAACTCTTATGTAGATCTCACACCTGCAGCCCATGAAGAGGATCAAGGCCCTCTCCTCCTGAGTAGCCCATGTTTTTCCCTGATCCTCTCCTCCCTGTGTGACCTAGGATGGATAGGGGATGGGCCTGGGTCCTCCTCTGACTGCTCAGCCGGACTCTACCTTTCCCCAGCCTCCTCCACATCCTCCAGAGCCACACTTTCACTCCCTGTTGGCTGTTACTCCTCTCCCTCAGAGTCAGTCTCCACCAGGGGCATGATACCCTATATCCCCCAACACTTTAGAAGGCAATGTTTTCCTTAAATTAAGCACCATTCCAGGTCATCACACAATATGTCCATGTTATCTTCCTGGCACTTCTAATTTACTTTCAGAGTTGGCATTTACCTATGGTTTCCAATTCAAGAACTTTTTTTTTTCAAGATCATCTCGGTCCCACTGCCATCTGTTTTGACTTGAACATTATTCTCAATATTAATTACATCAATTAGTGCATTAACCATAGGTCACATCAGAAGTATTTGAATAGCTGCTTCCAAATTATTTGATCAAGATTCTTCTTAATATAGCTTGGTGTTTAATATTTTTGTGATCTCAGAATACTTTCTGTGACCCTTCAAATCAACTCTTTTTGTTTTTTTTGCAGATCAGTGAAATGTTCTCACTCTTACATCCAATCATTAACCAGTCCCAAATAATTCTGTTTTGTATTTCTCCTGGCCATATTTTCTCCAGAGCCATATCTCAAAAGGTAGGGTTTTCAGAACATCACCAATGGGTTCAAAGACAAAAATGATCTATTTCTTGTACTGTCTTCATGAACCAAACTTACTACTATATTTTTACAGTTATTGAATATGCGTCACCTTCTTGTTTGTACAACAGGCAAGAGGACCTAAGAACAACTTTTTAAAAACCAGAGCCTTAAAATCAATCTTTTAGTCTGTTAAAACAATGATAAACTTGGCAAAGGGATTTGTTTCTGCCGCTATCTTATGTGATTTCCCCCCACCAATCTGCCATATTCTTCCTTCTTTTATTCATCTGGGTGTAGGTCTGCATCTTTTGCCAGTTTCTTCAGTTGTCATTTTCTTTCCACTTTAAAGCATTCATTAAAATGGATGCTTCACTGCTATTTTATTGGAACTTCCATCGACTCTGTTCTTATTAGGGGTGTAGTACTTATCTCAATTTAGGCTACTCTGCTTAATGCATGGAATCTAAAGTTGCAAACGCCATCAGTCTCTGCTTTAAGGCCTTTTATGAAGTCATCTGGCCTTATGAATTTATTTCCAATTTGTTCTCACTGTTAAAACATTTCTGCCAATATGCAATTGGAATTAAAGTCCAAGAGATCTCAATCTGCCTTTGAAGACAGTGAAAAATAAATCCCAGCCCTCTTTAATAGGATGATCCTAAAAGCGTCCTCTAACTAGGATTAGAAATAAGCAACTTAACATGTTGTATGGATACATCTGCTCATCTTTCACCTACTCAATTACAATATGCTTGTTCTATCAATTTGAAGAATGTCCTTACGGAAGAAAACAATGGTAAACCACATCTGTCCAGTTACTATGAAAACTATATGGACATGGTCATGAAGTCATCAAGAATCAAGAATCAAGCACAGATCTAAGGTGACTTCACTTTTTCTGTAACCCACATTTACAAGGTAAAAACACGCAGAGGTTTTTTTTTAATGGATTAAAAAGATAATTCCAATAAAAACTTTTTTTTAAATGAAGAAAAAATTACTATAAATAAAACTCACATCCTTATGATAAGTGGTAAGTGTAATGTGAGTGTAATCTTGGAGCTGGCATCTTTCCTTCTCTCTTTCAACTTATTTTTCAATGGATAAAAACTAATTAAGGACAGAAGCAGCCTAGAACTAAGGAGTAACTTCCTAACAGTAAGAACAATTAACTAGTGGAACAGCTTGCCTTCAGAAGTTGTGGGTGCTCCATCACTAGAGACTTTTAAGAAGAGACTGGACAGAGAATTGTCTGGAATCGTATAGGGTCTCCTGCTTGAGCAGGGGGTCAGACTACAAGACCTCCAGGATCCCTTCCAACTCTTGTTATTCTAACACAAAATCTGCCATTCATTGAATACTATTCTTCTAAGCTATTAGACAAACAGCAGAAAAGACTTGGGAGATGATATATTCTCCCCACTGATTCTGAGTCAGAAGCAGATGCCATTCAGTTATTTCAAAGGGCAAACTGTCCCAGAGAAGTTAATGAGGCACTAACTCTGCTTGAAAAAGCCCTAATCAAGAAAAGATGAAGTGTTTTCCACATGAGCTTTCCTTGAGGCACATCAAGTGCATTGTCTGTATCCTGACTTTTAAATGTCTGATAAAAACATTTTTTTTCTTCTTCTCAGAATGAAAAGAAATAAGCAACAGCCTTGTAATTTCCATGGACCCTTTTCTTAAGCTGCTTCCAAACAAGACACGAACGAAAAGGTTCTTTCAAGTTAATCCAGGATGTCAGCCTTCGGAGCATTACCCTGTTGTCTTTTGCTATTTTATTTTTTTTTTTCTTTTGGAAAACTCAACAAAGAGGCATGTTATTAATCGGCGGAGCACGTCAGATGATGGCTAAAATAAGGGCAGCTGCCACTTTTCAAGAGCAAGTTAAACACTGACACTGCTCTTTGCTTCTGCAAAGTCTTCCACATCCAGCAAGAAATGTACTGAAAACTGTAATTAGACACTCTGCCTAAAAGTGTTCTACCAATACACTGTGCTTGATAAGAAATCACTGATAAATAAAATATACATCAGAAAAGCCATGGGTCTCAGCCTGCCAAGAGTGGCTCAGCAGGAGTAGTATTAAGAGAGTTATTCCTTCAGGCAAAAGTGGCTGCCAGCCACGATGCCATCCAGAGACTGGGTAAAAGCAAGAATGGTTCTGGGTTCCGACAATTTCCCATGGGTCACATTAAGGGTGAGGTTGTTCTTGATTCTGATTTTTCACTGAACAGTGGAAAATCAGCAGGAGAAGGTTGCTCAAAGCTTCCTGCAATTAAGAACACCCTGCCAAGCAAGTACAATTTGTATACCTCCCATGTGCAAATTGAGGCATCACTCTATGCATTTTTAATTCGACAAAGCAGTTCTCTAATAAGCGATGATGCCTAAGTTCAAAAGTGGTTGTGAACATCTCACCGCTGGACAGGGAAGCAGTATGAAAATGAAACAAGAATATTTTATGGAGCAGTTCGAAGTGCTATATCCCAGAGAGAGGCTATAGTTATCTGTAGGCAGTTGGTAAGTTCAAGAGAATAGTAGCTTGACTTACCGTGACATATCTTTTGGGCCACAGGAAAATGGACCTGACAGAAAAGGGTTATTTCCACATCTTCCAATTAGAAAGCAAAGCTTAGGACTTCTTATTATTTCATGGAAAATACCCCTTCCCTTCAGCCATCTGCACTGACTTCAGCTGAGAAATTCAACTATTGTTGTATAGTATATTCATGTCGAAGTAACAGACCCAAAGCAATCAAGACTCTGAGGCCTAGAGTTCTCTCAAAGTATGAATTTATTAGAAATGTCATATTGGCACAGCTGGTGAAGGACCCGAGGTTTTCCCCACTCAAATCAAAACTCAAAAGTTCTTGCTTTCAGGTCACACATCCATCCCATGGTCTGAACAAGTCACAGTCCCAATGTTGGCTGGCTTTTGTCCATGCCTTTCTAAAACCTGGTAGAGAGTCCTTGGCTCCCATGAAAAAGAATGTTATTTTGGCTACACATCCCCACAGCTATCTCTATCTTCTCCCCCACATTCCCACAGCTCCAGCTGGCCTTGCTGTGGCAGCCCTGAGGATGCTCCCAAAATGGCTTCAGGACTGACAATTCAATGATTGTAAGAAAGCTTGCATACAGGATTGTAAAAATAATGTTTAATGAGATCAAGCTGATCTGGAAGGACTATGCTGCAGCAGTATTTCCAGTGTGGATCAATCAAGCGGTTTATAGTATTTTCTGTAGCCCACGGCAGTCAAAATCTGGTCAAAAAAGTCAATTTTCCTATATTGTAATATTTTATAATGATAGGTGACTTTGTCCAGGTATCCTAAAATGGTACTGATGTCATTAAGACTATCAGTGCACCTGCTCCCTTTGCAGAATGTGCTATGAGCAGAAAAGGGAGGACTATTCACCTGCTAATTGTAGAGAAGGAAACACATCTCTCCTGATTCCTCATTTTGTGTGAGACCAAAAAATGATTACATCTTTGCTATCTCATTGAGACAGATTCTCAGAGTTCCACACACATCTAGTTTGAACCAGATGAATTGAATCAGCCATCAAAAGGCGCACAGAGGTAAAGA